GATGAGATAAAGATTATTTCCACAGAAGTATTTCACTTCATCTGTGAAGAAGAAAGGAGGGATAGAGAAAGAAAGAACCAAAGAGACAGAGAGAGAGACAGAGAGAGAGAGAGAGAAAAAAAGAGAGAGAGGATGAAGCTAGTAGAAGAAAATACATAGAACCATATTTTTGTGACTACATTACTTAAACAAGAACCCCAAACCACAAGTCACAGCGGAGATGGATGCTAAATTTGACTACATTAAAAGTAAAGACATTTTCAACAACAGACACCAGGGACACAGTTAAAGATGGAGGGCAGATAGAAGGTATTTACACTTGCTCTAAGGTTAAAAGAAAGTAGTGTTCAGAATATTTAAGAAACTTCTGAAAATCTGCCAGAAAAGTGAAACTCAAAGGAAAAATGGTCAATAACAACATAGGCAATTAACAAAAGGGAACCTAAAAGATAACAAGCAAATGAAGCTCAACTTTACTAGATTTTAAAGAAATGCAAATTAAAGCAGATTTGCAAATAGTAGAAGGTTGGTCAATATCAAGTGCTTGTGGGGAATATGGAAATCTTCACTCCTAGTAAGAGCCTAACCTGTAATGGCAATTTGGCAGAGTAATCTTGCAGTTCAGCACTCACATATGTCCACTGATTTCTATCTGTGTTCATCGATACCTTGTTTGAGATAGCAAGGAATTGGTGACGACCTAGATATCGCTCACTAAGGAATGATAGTGACAGAATACCATGCAGGTAAAAAAAAATGGTCTAAATTTGTATATACCAATGCAGAATGCTTGCACAAACTTAGTGCCATGTGAAAAAGAAAGAAATATAACTTTTATCGCTCAATAAAGTTATATATATTAAACACAAGCATACAGACAGTTTCAGTCTACTGTCAAGATACATATACATACACAAGCACATGAACTGTGCAGGCACATTGCTCAGCCTCAGGGTTACAATTCACACAGTTTTCCATGCAAATGGTGCCCTCTGGGGAAAGATGCCAGAATACAACATGAAAGGTGCCCCCTGAGGGTATGCAATATGGCAGGTTTGACTACTGAAGGTTGTAGATTAATGTCAGAATAGGTGCCTATGATGAGAGCAAGGAGGGAAAAGGGAGTGGGAATGGGAGCTGCCATGTCGTACACCGTGTGCTACTTACACTCCAGGTATGAGTGTGACTAGTGCAGAGTGTGCAACATGGCAGCCTTGAATATATGAGATGGTTTGGAAGACTGTAGATTAATGCATTGGAATAGGTGCCTATCATAAGAGCAAGGAGGGAAATGGGAGTGGGAATGGAGAGGAAGGAGAACATGAAGTAAAGTGAATATAGAAAAGGGTACATGCATAAAAAGGAGGATGATAGTGTGCCCGAAATGAAGAAATAGAATCAACTCAATTCCGTGGTCTTAAGTGGAGAAGGTTGGACCCAAAAGAGGGATCTTGAGCTGGAAAACCAACACCTTCTCAATCCTGCTAAGAAATGTGGATTTTATCTTGAAAGCTATGGGAAATCCTAGAAGTGTCTGAAACAGGAAAGATTTGCATGGGAATGGATGAGAAGGGGAGAGGCTAGGGGGCAGCAGGCCTTCAAAGCAACCCATGCAAGGTCTCCATGAACACAATGGGGTCAATGTGGCCAAAGATGCACTGAGCCAGGTGTGCATACCTAATGCCACACACAAAGATCCTTGGAAAGCCTGGCACTCCCTCCTTCAACTCCTCCCTCATTCTTATGTACCCAGAGAAACAAGGCCTGTTAAAAGTGCTAGGGACAGCTCCCACCAGCACGGCCATGGTTGATACCACCTTCCAGATATGAGTGTGATTAGCACACAGCCGTCTTCCCATTTTCACAATGGAAATTTCACAGATTGTCATAATCAAATCTTCTCTTTTCAAGATATTAAGAACAACCTCAAGCGTGTATCATATGTAGAAAGAAATTCCTAGAAAAATCTAAACTTAATTACAGATTCCTTATAAACAACTTGGTTTATGTGTTTATTTTGATATAATTTTTGATAGAGGTTGGTATAGAGAAGCACAAAATCAAATATGTTTTATGGCATCACTTTCTAAGAATAGCCTTTTCCGCTAGACTCAAGATGAAAAAGATCATGAATATTTTCTTTTTATAACTCTGATTCAATTTGTTATCTCCTTAGTCCTGCTTATATAGAGTTTCTGTCCCTTCTGTTCTCAGATCATTGACCAATTCTGATATGAGATAAAATTCTATTAATATTACCTTAAGCAAGTACTTAGAGAAGGAAAAATAAAATGGGAAGGAGAGAAAACACCACACCCTCTTGGCTAACACTTCTGACCCATCGGCCCACCCTTGCTGTTGTAAGAACATGTGAAGTCAGTGATTGTCAGCTTTGGCTTCCTGAGGCAACGAAGAATTAATTAGTAAATTTTGATTAAAATATTTTCCTAACAAAATATAATACCTAATGAAAGTTAGGCGGTAGTGAAACAGGCACGCTCATGCATAGCTGATTGTAACTAGAACAAATCTTTTGAAAAGCAATTTGGCAGTAAGTATCAAGCCTCTAAATGTGTGTACTCTGACCTGGGAATTCTCTTTCTGGAAGCCTATCTTATTGTGGGGAGGGTGGGAATCTAATTAGGTAAACAGATACATGCACAAAGAAACTTATTATGGTGTTATTTTATAACAACAAGAAAAAGTATGAGAAACAAACTGATAACATGCCCAGTTCTGTAAACTATGGTATATCCACCAGTTTGGGTGGATCTGTTTATAGTGAGTCTGTCAAAACCTGAGTATAAATATGTATATACAATCTTATCAAAATTATATATTTTTAAATACAGAAGCAAATATGAAATCTGCACAATTCAAAAGGTTTGGAAGTAAATATACTAATCTTGGTAGTGACAGGTTTTCGGTACAGAGATTTAGAGTGACTTTTCTTGCCTTTTTATTTATGTTATTTTCAGGTTCATCATAAGGACTATAGTGTACACAACTTTTCTAATCAGAAAAAAATAAACACACTTTATAAGGAAATAAACAAACATAGAGATGCCATATGGAATCTTTTGGTTTGAGAGATGGCTGAGACTGGGATAACTCAGATCAAAATTACAATAAATTATCTCAATTCCAAAAAAAAAAAAAAAAATGGTGGGGCTGGCTGGTAAGGGACCTACATTTCATACCCTTCTTAAGTTTGCTGGTTTCTGCCCAGGATTTCCATTAGGACTGGAGAATAGGAGCTGAGTTAATTTTCCCAGGGGCCCTGAAATCCTGATATTGGTACATTCCCTGTCATGCATTTATTCTCATTCTTAGGGCCATGGTGACCATAAATGTGAATGAAAATTTAAAGTATTTAGCATTTATTAAGCACTTCTTATGCACAGGCACTGTTTTGGTGCTTTTTATAACTGTATTTCACCTTTCTCAGGCTTACAAAAGCCCTTAGTAAAAAGAACTATTGTCTCCTTCCTCCTCGCTCCCCCACGCCAGCGTGTTCTACACACTTCTTTCTTCTACTCACCAAGACAGCCTTTTAGGAATATAATGGATTTGGATAAGAGAAAAAAAAATGGGCCAACGAGGCTGCCATTTGTTATCAATAAAGCCTCACAGCTGTCTGAACAGCTGACTAAAGAAGCACCTTCAAATGGTCAAGACAGGGAAGGTTCTAGAAATAGGGCACCAGAAAATCCCACAGGCCTTCTCCTTGTGATGTGGCTTGTTTGCTTTACAGGTGTCAAGCATATTTGCTGACGTCAGCAGCCCATCAAGGTTTAAAATAATAATAGTGAAAAGGAAAACAGCCCCTTTCTGCCAGGCAGTCCTGTTCTGCCAACTTCTGCGTTCTTTTTGAGTTAATAAACGTCCAAGAATCACCTCCCCCTACCACCCTGAGAGGGAAAAACAGCACAATAATTTTAAAACCACCAGGTCAGCCCATTGTCAGCATAAACCATTCAGACAAGTAGCATTTTGTCACACTCTAATGAGGATTTTACCTCTGCCTCAAAACGAAAGCTATCATTAGGTTTCGTGTTTATGGGATCAAATGATTGTCTGGGGATGGTGGGTTTCTTTCAGTCCCTTCCTCATTTTAATCACGTTCAAAACCAAATGCATAGACATTTCCTGCATCAGATGAAACTAAAAAACCATAGCTATGCCAGCTAATGTCTTTTGAAAACATCAATTAAGAAAATGGCCTTTAAATTCCCATTTTTACTTGAAAATCTGCGAACAGGCACACATGTTTTAATACCAGGGCAGTGGTGGTGGCAGTGAGGGGCGGGTGGGGGGTGCTGTCTCTAAAAAGGAGACAGCACAAACAGTGGTTTGAGGAGGTCAGAAGGGCAGGCTCCCATTGGCAACAAGCAGATAGAGAATCTCTGCAAGGGAAGGAACTTCTGTATAAAGCAAAGGCCTCTTAAGTTATCTTCACATGTAGTGTTGAAACTGGAGCCAGCCCCTCAAGAGTAGGTTGATAAGAGGCTTCTGCACCATGCTGGTACCACACACAGGCCCCATTGTTAATACCTCCTAAGGACAGATTAGATCCCACATTCCTCAGAAGTACTGAGCTGCAGAGGGAAATCGGCCAGCAGGCTCCTTCCGCAGGGCCAACCACTAGCTACAACTGATAAGTTTTAATGGAAATAACTGGAACAATTACATGGAGTCCCCACCACTTCTGTCGCCAGCTACTGAGATGGTGGTGTACTTGCATCTCCTGGCATGTGCATAGGCATGTGCCAGAAAAGAGTAATTCAAGTTCTTAACTCATTTTTTATCTTTTTTTCCATGGCTATGTGCCATCGTTAATCAAACTGTTCACCCAAGGAGTACTATGAGATTGTTTTGTTTTATTTTTTCTTTTCTGGCCTTATCTAGGAAACCCTGATATTTACTCTATCTGAGTTTGAACAAGTGACTAATTAATCTCTGACAAAAGATATTGAAGTTAGACAAGTTTGGGTAAAATCCGTTGTGGTCACAGTTGGTTTTAATCACATAGCTCAATTTAAAAGCTGAACACTAACATACCTTTGCTTTCAAAGAGTGCTTGTTAAACAGCAAGTTTTGTTGTGCGTAACTCGAATTCTGCCACTTCCTTTTATTTTTTCTGAAATAACAGTGATTGAGTCAATGAAGTGGCAATATGAATTAAAGGGCAACACACCTGCCTTTGCAGGGACAAACCCCAAAGGGCCCAGATTAAATTTTAACCAGGATTATGTTTGCCAGGATTTTATATCTCAAATGATTATGTTTGGCTTTTGTAATAATAAAAGGTTATTTTGGGAAAAGAATTCCCTTTTAACATCTACTCTGTTTACTAGGAGGAAATACAGAATTAGACTTCGATACAGTTTAGCCTTTGAAAGAAAATAAAAGACAAATGATTTAGCAGATGGGTAATTCCCAAATCTGCAGAAATGTAAACAGCCAGGATTTTGGTGCCTATGGGTTTTATCAAAGATGTAAGAAAGGCTGAGACCGACACCAGTGTGTCCTCTTTGGCTAGTTTTAACACGTTTACAGTCACAATTAACATTCAAGGAATTTCCTTTTCATCCAAGTGTTTCTTTTAAAAGCACTTCATACCACACACTAAAGTTCTAGCTGCCATCAGTCCTTCCCATACAGAAGAGTAGTGAAATCTCCGTAATACTTCCTTACTTTGAAAACGGGCTCGGACCACGTCAATTTCCTTGGGGTGTTTTCCAGTATAGGTGGTTCTCGCCTCCTCCCTCCTTCCCTCTCTTTAAAGAACTTGTACTGGGGACCCTACTTCTTCGTCCCCCACCCTCCTCCGCACTCACCCCGGAGCCAGATGAGCGCGAGGCTAGGCAGGCGTCCTAAGCCCTCCCCCGGCCCAACAGCCTGGTTTCAAATCCCTGAGCCGGCCGGCCCACTGCATTCTGCAAGAAAAAAGAGATCCCTGTTTCCCCCTCTCCCCTGCTACCCCTAGACAAGGGATTCGCACATAGGAACGGAGTCCGAGTCTTGGCTATGCATAGAGCTCAGCCCCGTATCCGAGTCTTCGTCGTTGCCAGGACCGCTCTTGGCCAGTCCACGGGCCTGGTCCACCCACATGTCGGCGCAGGCTTGAGGCCCGGCTTCCCGCGAGGGACCGCCGGAGCCAGGAGCCCCATCCGGCGCCACTGTCAGCTCCAAAGTGTGCAAAGTTTGCAGAAGGCCCTGTAGCTCGCGCTCCTTGCTGTCCCATTGCTGCTGGCTGTAATCCAAGTCCGACTTGACGGCCTCCAGGTCCGTGTTGAGCCGGAGCCCGATGTAAAGGCTAGTACTGAGCTGCGTCCTGACCCGTTCCTGCTCCAGCAGCAGCTCGCCCTCGGGGCCGCCATCGGGCTCCGGGGTCTCCTCCCGCGCCGCCAGCTCCTCCTGGCGCCGCCGCATCCACCTCTGGTTGAGTTCCTCCTGAATCTCGGCTGAAAGGCGCTCCAGCAACTCCTCCTGCTGAACCCGTTGCTCCTGAAGCCTCAGTAAGTCGTCGCAGCGCCGGGCCAGCTCCTCCAGCGCCGCAGCCTGCGCCTCGCCGTCTAGAGGGGGCGGCGCCGCCGCCGCCGCCTCTGCCTCCGCCACCACCTCTTCTGGCTCCTCTCCTGGGCTGGACCCGTCGAGCTCGATGCCTGCCCCAACCAAGTAAGTGTCCTGCACGTAGTTGACCCCGTGACGCCGCATGCGGTCCAGGTGCACCTTGGCCTCGTAGCGGTCGATCTCGCGGTCCAGCTCGTGGAGCCGCTGCACCTGCTGGCGAATGGTGTGGTCCTGGGAGAGCACCAGATGCACCAGCGTCTCCATGCGCTCCACCGACGCGCTCTCGTGGGCCCGCGGCGACGAAGAGCAGGACGAGGCAGTGGACGACGAAGTGGACGAACAGGACGACGGTGGCTGCTGCTGGCGCCGCCGGTTGAGCTTGGCCAGTTTGCGAAAGGCCTTGCGCACCACTCGCCGCTGTTTCTCCTGGGTCATGGCCAGGCTGGGCCGCGCGGGGGCCCCGCGGGCCGGACAGGGGCGCTCTCGGCTGAGCACTACGCGCGCCTCGGCGCTGCGGGGGCCGGCGTTAGGCAGCGATGCCTCGCTGCGCACTAGCACAAAGCGCACATTCTCTTGCTCTTCGCCCCAGGCAGCCCAGAGGCGCAAGATGCGAGTCTTGTTAGGGAGGATGCGCTCAAAGCCGCGCCACTTCTCCACGATGCAATAGCACTGCGGGGGTCCACACAGCATGCCCTGGGGCAGCGCCTCGTCGTCGTCCTCGTCGTCCTCGTCTGGAGGTTCGGGAAGCTCTCCCGGGCCAGGCGGGTCGCCGGCCGACCCCCGCCGCCGGCTCCGCCGCTGTCTCCGTCGCCGTCGGCAGCCGTCCTCCAAAAGCACTCGCACGACGTCCGAGCAAGTGGTGCGGCGGGAGAGACCGGACACCAGCTTCTCTTCCTGGCAGATCCACACCGATATCTTCTTTTCCGAAGGATCCATGGCGCAACCAGGGCGCAGGTGGCAGGTCCGGCCGGGCTCTGCTGGGGCAGAAAGGACAGCAAGGGCAGCCCAGTAGCTCTGGGATGGGAGAGGAGCCCGTGCCCCCTCCTGCGGCTGCACTAGCCCTGCTTCCCCACTGCGCACCGAAGGCAGGCTGGAAAGCGACTGCGGCTGTGGTCGCGGTTGCGGCTGCGCTCTGCCCGGACGACGGGCACTCCCGGGGCAACGCGCCCGGGACCGGCTCCCGCCGCTCTGGCTCTACCCAAGGTGCCCGGGACCTCCGGGTTTTGCTCCTCCCCGTGGCTCCACCCCTTCCCGCCCCCAGCGCCCAGAGCTGTGGCTGGAAGTACAGGAGGCTCAGGGCCCAGGCCCACCCCTTGCAGCCTTGCCGCGCGGTGTGCACCCCGTCCGCCCCTCGCTCGCGTTGCGGGCATCCTGAGTCTGGGCCTTTTTCGCCAAATTGCTGCTCTGCCGCGCGCCTACGCAAGGGAAGATTCAAGGGCCCCTCCACTTCAGGGAGTGGAGCCCGCGCCTCGGCACGGATCAGCTGTGCGTCTCCCTTGGCCTACTGGCTCTTCTCCTTGTGTCTATAGCTAGCTGGACGCATCTTGACTTTTATCTTCTCATCTTTTCTGGCGCCTCCAGACGCATTTCCTGGTCCCTCAAGGCAGCGGTGCCTGGGGAGTGCACTTTGCACAGACAGGGAAACCGAGGCACTCAGCGGTCTCCAATGGAGACGCTCTAATCACATTCCACGTCCAGCTAGCGCTATGAAGAGCTGCCTCTAACGCGGAAGGCCTCCCAGTCTTCCTTGACAGGAAGCAGTATTTGCATATCTAAGGAGAACAAGATTCAGCAATGTGCTCCGGGAGCAAGTGCAGGCATGGAACGGTCTGGGCTGGAGGGGGACAGACGTTCAGAGGCGGCTGCCGGTTTCCTGTAGTGTCACGTAAGTGGGTCTCCACGTCATCTTCACCTCAGCTTCCCACAGCCTTCTTGGGAGAGCGACTCCTCATTCTAGTGGGAGTTCAGGGCCCAGACCCGAGTCACAAGCTATTTTTATGCTTTCCACATGCATAAGGGGAAACCGTGAAGGCTTCTGGCATTTTCTAATATTCAGACGTGGTCCAGAAGAGATAACAGCCAAGCTTTACAGCGCAAGAAACCCAAGGCCACAATGCAAGTGAACTTGTTTCATCCTTAACTGCTGATGAGGATAGTCTATTGCGTGCAAGCCTTGCACTTAGCTTGTCTTTGTGAGCACAGGTCTAATAATAAGCTCACTCCCTTTCTTCAAGACCTTGGATGGCTCCCCATTGCCTCTTGGCTAAAGCACTTTTGTTCATTCAATGATTCACTCAGCAAATATTTATTGAGTACCTACTGTGCTCCAGGTCCTATCGCTAGGGATTTGACAATGAACGAATCGCCAGTTCTGGCTTGCAAGGAGTTCACAATTTAGTGGGAGAGCACAGCCAAGTAAACATTTCCAACACAATGTCTTGTGTCCTCTGATAACGGAGAGCATGAGGTTTTGGGGGAACCTGGAGTGGCATCCAACCCATCTTGGAGGGGCAAGGAAGGCTTTCCCCCAGAGGTGGTGTCTTAAGCAAGACCCAAAGGACCATTAGAGTCTGCCAAAAGGAAAATAGATGGAGGGGAGGGACAAGCAGTATACTAGAAGGGATTGTAGTGCAGTCAGGAATCAAGAGCATGTTAGTTACTGGGGCTGTCAGGAATTTGAGAGGAGTGTCTAAAATTGAGGTTGAATGATTGAACAGGAACAGGATCAGGAAGGGCCTTTAATTCCATGCTTATGTATTTGGATTTGTCTTAAAGACAGTGAGAACCCATAGGGTGCAAATCTGGAGTCAGAACAGTCAAGTAAAAATCTCAGCAGCACTTACTAGCTCTATAACCTTAGGAAAAGTATTAATCTCTCTGAGCTTCAGTTTCCTTATCTGTGAAATGTTGATAATAAAAAAAATACCTCCCTAATAGAACTGGTGTAAGGATTAACTGCCTGGGCCTGGTAAATCCCCAATAGTTTTATTGGGGCGGTTGGAAAGCTGGGAGGTATATTAGTTTTCTATTGCTGTGTAACAAATTATCACAAACTTAGTGACTTAAAACAACACCCATCTATTGCTTTACTGTTCTGTAGATCACAAGTCCAAGTTGGCATGGCTGCTGCATACTTTTCTCAGGATGTCCCAGGCAAAAGGCAAGGTATAGGCTGGTTCAAGTTCCTGTCTGAAGGCTCTGGGGGAATAACCACTTCCAAATCCATTCAGGTTGTTTGCATGATCTGGTTCCTCTCAGTTGTAGGTCTGAGGTCCCCATTCTCCTGTTGGCTGTCCTCCAGGGTCACTCTCAGCTCCTACAGGACTCTCTCAGATCTTTTCTATAGGATATCCACCCCCCTCCCTGCAACTTAAAAGTCAGCAACCACATGTCAAATCCATCCAGTCCTCCTTTGCTTCTAATCAATCTACCATCCTCTTCTGCCACTAGCTAGAGAAAACTCTCTGCTTTTAAAGTGCTTGATTAGTCAAACCCACCTGGATAATTTCTCTGTCTTAAGGTTGACTGATTAATAACCTTAACTATATCTGAAAAACCCCTTTTGCTGTGTACTGTAATATAATCACCAAAGTTGCCCCCAGGGAGATGGAGATTATGGGGCTGTCTTAGAATTCTGCCTACCATAGGGCATAACATGAACAGATTTTGATTTTTTAAAGATCAGTCTGTTTGCATTGAGGACAATGGGTGGGGGTGGGGGATGAGAGGCAAGAAAGCCTTTTAGAAGACTATCACATTCATTTGAGGAAGAGATGATGACCTATGCTGAGAATAGTGGGGGTGAGAAGACTGGACACAATTGACAGCTATCAAGGAGGTGGGAGAGGCAGGATGTGGTGCTAGATTGACGAAGGATTTCTTTCTCCCTAGAATGGTGTCAAAGGTCTCTTGCAATCTGGACCAGCCCACTTCTCCAACTTCTCACTTACATGTGGGCTATCCCTTCTTCCTTTCCTCTCACATAGGATTGCTAGAGCTTTGTAGTCAACTGCCATCCCTGCTGGATTCTAAGCTCCACAAGAGTAGGGATCATATATCTGTTTTGCTCACTTTTGAATCCTTTACATTTAGTGCAATCCCTGCCACATTCTAGGTTTACTCGTAGCTGTCGAATACATTAATGAATCAATGAAGGAATCCTACATTTTAGCAAGCCAACACCTCATCCATCCAGAAGAACTCCTGCATCTTAATGTATCCACACTTTTGTACATGCTTTTCCCACAATTAAGATTCCTCTAAAACAACTGGAGAACTTCTACTCACTCTTCAGAAGCTCAGATACAGGTCACCTGCTCTAGGAGTCCTTTCTTTCCTCCTCCAGAAAGAACTGGTTCCCCGCTCTTCTTCTGCGTCTATTAATGCAGAGATTACATTGTGCTGTGATGCGTTTTTTATGTGTTTACTCCCACAAGAATAGAGCTTTTCAAAAGAAAAAAAGATTGTCCTATTTACAGTTTAGTCCTCAGTGCCTAGGGTGCCTGGCACATGGCAGGTTCTCCATCTTCTCCTATGTTTTAAGGAACACCCAGATAAATAATGTCTAAGATATTGTGCTACCCTCAAGATAACTTCTTTCTAGAAGCAGACAAATACATGGAATCCCTGTTGTAGTAATGATATATATGAAATTTGTGCCGGACTAATTAAAGGATAGAATGATTGTATGGGTGCTAGGAAGGATGCAGAAGGCAGACTTCAACAAATGCGGAGGAGGGGTTGAGAGCATTCTTGGTGGGAGAAGATACATTAGTTAAAATGCTAAAATGAGTATGCATGTGGTCATGTACCGGTGTTTCAGAGTATGTGTTTTGGAGTTACCCTGCCTCATTTCAGATACCAGCTATAAGCTTTCCAACCCTCAGTCTTCTTACCAGGAACAAAGTATAATAGTGGAACCTTCCTTATAGAGTTGTCATTACATGAAATGAAATAATGCACAATATATAAAAGATCTAGCACAGTGTCTGGCACATAAAACATGTTCAATAAAACCCAGCTAGCATTGTCAAGAAATTGTATTAAGTACCTACTGCATGCTATGTCCTGGGCTATGTGTTGAGGATCCATGAAATAACTGGACAGACATGGTCCCTGACCTTAGAGATGTCACAGCCAGGATTAGTGTGGTTTAGCAATGGATTTCTTAAGTTAGGCTAGGCTGTAGTAACAAACAGGGCCAAATGTGTATAGTGGCTCAAACGTAACAAAGGTTTATTTTTCACTCAGATAATAGTCAAAAGAAGATGTCCTGGTTGGGAGGTGGCCTTATTCCAGATAAAGATACAGAAACCCTGGTTCCTTCCATCTCGTGACTCGAAAATCCTCTAGACTTCATCATCATGTACATAGAGCCAGAGGAAGAGGAGAGAGTATGGAGGGTCACACCCTCTTCTTCAAGGCGTTGGCTGGAAATTGAGCTCATATCCCATTGACTAGAACCCAGTCATGGCCACTGGTAATGGCAAGGAGGCTAGAAACTGCAATGAGTGCCTCAGAAGAGGAAATGAATTTTCATGAACAGCTAGCTGCCTACCATAAAAATATTTATTTGAAAAGTAAGACGAGGCATAGAAAGAAGTTCCAAAAGTGTAGGAATTGCAAACTGGTGACCTACCAGCCAAATCTTGCTGCCTTAGACAGAATATACTCTTTCTGTTTAGCCACAAAAACAACACTCTATTTAACATATGTCCCAGTTCACATACATTCGTGACTCACCTGAGTCCTGTAATCATGTGAATTGTGACTCTTGCTTCCATACATCCTCCCAGGGTTATCTCATTCACTCCCAGGAATTTTATACAATTGATATGCCATGGCTCCCACATCTATTCCAGAATTCTCCAAATATGCACATCCAACAGCTTGCTGGATAGTTCCACTTGAGTATCCGCCAAACATCCAAACCTTTGCGAAATAGATAAAGTTGAACCAATCATTTCTCCCCAAGCCTGTTCTGCCTCTTGTAATGTCTATTTCAGAAAATGGTCCCATCATTCACCAAGCAAGACCTGAAACTTGAGGACCACCCTTGTTCATCACCATCCACCTCCTTTCCCCACAGGATGTTGAAGTTCTGGGAGGGCAGAGGGTTTTGTGTGCTTTTTTTCCTACTTAACCTCCAGTACCTGAGACATCAATTCTCACACAGTAGACAATAAGTATTTGTGGAGTGAATTAATTAATGAACGCATGCATTGCCTTAGCTTAGGCCCTCA